AACCATGCTACGGCGTTAATGATATCACGGTGAGGTAATCGACTAAACATGTCCTTGATGTCAAAGGATCGTGCTGTGATCCTGTTGACATGTCCAGTCACCTGATCTCGTTGTTAACCTTACCTAATCTCTCAGTCAGATGTGATAAAGCTGAGAGGTTGAAGTGACAGCCAGATGGTAACCGTGATAATAGGAAGTTTAGTCCTTTAGCCACAGCCCGACCAGTGCGAACCATCGGTTCGTTGAACGTTGGACAGATCAGGCGATATCTCGCAAGATCTTTATGTTTCGGAATTACATAAGCAGTCCCCAATTTTCCTCTCTTGTCCCACCGAACAAACCTTTGCAGTCCCGCATCCTTCATCTCTTCTCTGACCTCACGGAGCAAAAGAGTCTCAGCTACTGGCATCACCGTGTATCATGAGCTCCTGAGGAATGTGTTAATCATAGCCTCATAGTAGGTCTTCGGGCACATCACAACTGTCTCACCAGGGTTCCTATCGAGTGGAGTCAACACTAGTCCGTTCAACTGCTTCCTCAAACCCTCGACATCAGACATCGATAGGTGAGACGAAGTCTCTACGCTGTCAGCATGCATGCATCTTGCCAAAGTCTCCAGAGATACACTCAGCTTATACCCACGATAGTTCCTCCAGCTCCGGAAACCGGACTCGACTTCAGAATGTAGGAAAATCAGACGATTTGCTTGTTGGGATCGCGGGACGTTATTTGCATTGGCCAACAACGACTGGTCCACCACATCTTTCTTCAAACGAAACAACACGTGCTCAGAGACAATGGACACTGCGTCTGTCTTGACCATCCAATCTACTAATTCATTCCCGTTACTATTGGCAGTCAGAGCAATCGTCGATGTACTGTCTTCATTTGAGGTCAACAGACTGGCCAGGGAGTGTCAATAGGCCCTCCTGCTACACCATCTGCCAAACGATTGAGTCACTATTCTTATTCCCAGGAAAACAAAATGGAGGAAAATTTTCTCTCCTCCTTGAGTAACAACTACATGTCGGCCAGGTTTCGGATTAGGCAGGACCACACAAGTACCTGTGTGATTCAAAACATGTTCGTTTACCAGGTCCGGTAGTTGATCCTCAGCAGGTGTTTTCTGAACCTCCACAGTAGGAATACTGAGGGTTTCATCATTTGCCTTCTTCGTGAGGATCAGTGTACCCAGCGGAGAATCTGAGACAATTAGGAACAACAAACTGCTTAGGAGGAGGATTGTCCTTATCGGCTCGTCCCAAAGAAGCCATGGGTTCGGCTTGGAGCAGCGATTTCCTCGCTGTCCCACCTACCTTGCTCCTTTTTTTGGAATGTGACTCATTCATGTTCTCCATCTCGGACTGTTCACCCAGACCTGCCTCCTCCGCTGTCTGTTTAGTCGAATCATCATTTAATCTGTTTTTTTTAAGAGAAACTTCATTTTCGGATCTTTCCGAAAATAACTTCTTACTTGTTCGAATAAGGCCCGAAAAAAAAAAATCGAAGGCATTTCCCCCCTGATCTAGATCTTTTGGGACAAACAGACCCTTCAACGGAAAATTTTCCCAGAATTAAATAATCATTCTATAGTAAAATTACAATCTAAATTTTAAATTTTCATTCCATCTTAAAAAATGTCATTCCAATTTTAAAAATTTCCATCTTACTCGCAAACTTTTATTCCAAGAATAGGGTATCCCTTCTTATTTGGACTGCATGCTAGAGATGGAATGAAAGTCTGGATGATTTCATGAAATATTTTAATTGGACCGTCATTCTAAATAAGGATTTTCAATCATAAATAGGTTAATCCAATCTAAATTAGAAGATATTTGTTGTAGTAGAATGAAAATTTAATTAAAACCTTTCATAAACTCGTCCAGACTTTCATTCCATCTTGAACAAAGAGATGTAGTTGAAAGGGAAAACTCATATTTAGACGGGGACTTATCAAATAAAACTGAAAATTTTAAAATTTGACGAACATTGGAATGATAATTTATAAATATGAAGGATTTTTTTTTTAATGGAATGTTTTTCAACTTTCATTTCTCGTGGGAATTTTTCTGTTGTTACTCAGCTCTGTTTCAAACATTAGGCCCAGTCCCAGGTTTGTTTGGTCTTCGGGATCCTTCTCCACATCCGATTCACCTTCCGACTCCGAAATTACCATATTATCCACATTACCTTTCTCCCTCGTAGTAACCATGGCAGAACTGTTCATTACGGGATTAGGGCTCGCGCTCTTAGTCCCGCTTTTTTGAGCTTCCTCAGGTATGGAGGGGGAGGGCTCTCCTGAGTTCATAGTAGAATGTTGGTCTTTTTTTGCCTTATGACCCTTTCTGTTCTTGACTTTTTCACCACCGAACACAAATTGTGAAGCAGAAACCTCTCCCTTTTCTTTAGAAGGTTCCTTTGACGAGCTCGCCCCGTCCTTTTTCTTCAGACGGTACACGACTTTTGTTTTAAAGGGATTGACAACTTTATTTGTCTCTTTTCCAGCTTCTTTGTCAATTTCTTTCTTAGTACTCCCTTTATGTGCCTTATCAGAGCTCTTTAGCAGGATATCTTTATATGAAGGAACTGGTCGGACGGGCTCTTCTCCAGCCTTCTCCTGATCGTTCTTTGACGTGTGTCTGTTCTTCTTTTTCGGGCAATTGGCATCCTTTTCATCATGAAAATGACGACAACAGACTCGACACCATGATGTTCTCGCGCAGACCACATCAATTTTGATCAAGCCATCTCCCTATAAATCAATTTGCAAACATTTATTGTAACGTAGCCTTGTTGAACGGACCAAGTCAAATCTGACGTTGTGGAGATCCGGTTCGAGGGGATTAGTATACGTTGGATGGTTCTTTAATACCTCTCCAAACGCATCTTGGACTGCCCGTTTTAACAATCCCATCGCCGAAATTGGTACCTTCATGCATCGTATCCAGAAAAAC